TCCACGATCTGGATTTACCAGGGATGAAAGAAGCATTTATCATTTGTTTCCTCAACCGCTATCCAAAAATCAAAATTCTAACCCTCCTCACACTATTTTTGCGGATGTGCCAAAACGGCCATGAAAAACTCAGTGAATGAAATTGGTAAGTGTATAAGGAAACTAGAAACAAAACATTTTTTGTGCTGAGAGATTTGCTCAAAGAACAGCTCGAATAAGCAAAAAATGCAACAAATCAGTTTACATTTTACTCGGTGAATGAAATTAGTACGTGTATCATAAAACTATAAATAGAAAATTTTTAGAACTGACGAATTTAGAACAACTTAAAAGTATTCACTTGCTATGAGAGGAAAGGCAATCAGAAAAATTGAAGTTGTAGCAAGGGTCAGCAGCAACCACCTGCTGATCGGCCGAGTTGTCAGGGGTTCGAAGGTTTGCTTACAAACAAGCTATTAGCGACTTTGACTCACCGGCGTCGGTATGTTGCTCCAGTACCGATTTTCTATCAAAACGAATGAACGGTTGTGAAGGGATTGGTTATCCTATCGGCCGAGCGAAATCCTCGACCAGCTACTTGTACGATACTACGTCCATAAGGATCCAAAAAATGCAAAGAAAACTGGTGGAAGTGCATTTACCGAATTACTGCGCTTTTTTAGAATTTTTGTTGTTTCAAACGTTGTCGAAGCATTTCTCAAAATGTTGGATAGCTTTAAAATATCACGCAGCAAAATATTTGCAAGTGTTTTTTTGGCGAGGAAAATGAGCTTGAAAACGCGTAATAATAGCCGAAATTGCTTGATGTAAATTCGTTTCGTGGAAAATGGAGGTTAAGCAAATATTGTTCTGCCTTTGAAGCTATAAAACCTTTATTCAACAGAAAGGCAATGTTTGCCGTGTTACGTTCTTTGAAAAAAAAATTTAGATTTTCCTCGCTTTTGTGATAATTTTTTACCTTGGATTTGGCGAGTCTCTCTATTACAACCTAATTTAAAGGTTTTCAGGAACTTAAACTCAAAAAATGTCGTTGAGTCACATGAGCTTTGAGACTGCTCGAAAGCAACCCTCGGCGAGGATTTCTCATAACAAAAATTGCCACTCGGTAGTTGCTGTTGAGAAGGTGCTATTATCGAGTTAAATGTCTTCCCCTTTCGCTGTGAATAAACGCGTAGGGAAATGCTGCTAGTGGAAAGTGTAAACTTGGCCAGACCTCCATATATATACTCGGCCATTACAGCACAGAGTAAAAACTGTCCGGGCCAGAAACCACTAACATACAGTACGGCTTAGCCCAGCGAAGCTCGGCCACCGATACGCATGGAAATCTTACTGACCCGGATTTGGGCTTAGAAATTGTTGTGGTAATGAATTAAAAGAATGGAGGAGGGCGAGGAAGGAGAGATGATTATGAGAACTGGATTTTGGAGCTAAGAACACATTTGACATGAAATTTATGCCTTGTTGTGGAACGGATTCACGTACAGAAGAATCCGACTTCTAAGTTAAATTATGACTTTGTCTTGTACTTTTAAGTTATACGGACACCCATATTAGCCGCAGAATTCTTCTGTAAATATTCGATTTGCAGTGCATTTTCATCGGCTTTTACAAAACAGTAATGTGAGAATCAGTGCAAAATGAAGTAATGTAGGGGCAGGTCAGTATGCAGTCTGTTTTTCAATATGAAATTTAGGCACCGTGCTGGTGTGCGGGATGAAAAACTTGACATGTATTTTAAAAATTTGCATCACTAAGGTAGTATATAAGTAGTGATATACAGTGCAGAAAGTTAAGACCTGATAATTTCGGCACTGGTTGCATCTTCCTCGTGAAGAATGCGTTGCAAATCTGATATACGAATCTATTTATCCAAAATCAATTTGCTTTCTAAAATTTTCGCAATAATCAGGAGTTTTTTTTTTAATTGTGGTATGGATTTTTAGAATAATAAAGTCGTCTGCAGAAGCTAGCACAAAAAAATTGCTAAA